GCTTGCCTATTCCATTCAAAAATGATTTATATTTAGAAACTTTTGATAGTTTAAGCCGTTGAGATAACACCTTGAAGCTGTAAAGGAATCAACTGAAACAAACCGAGTTAATTTGCGTTCATCTCAATTTTCTTTGGCTAAAAGCATTCCTATTAACCCTTTCTGCCCTGACATTTATTTGGTATTTAGTTAATTGAGAGCGCTTTTGTCAAAATTTCGCTTCCACGAATTATCTCCCAGTATATTTGTGAAATTTAGCGCGTGAAAATATGCGATGATGAAGTTCTCTTTACGTTTTCTCTGGCGTTAACAAGAAGAATTCGTCCGGCAATCAGGGGCTTTTTTTATTTGAAGATCATTCCTTTTATTCTCCGTGACCTTTATATTTAAAACGAGGGTGATGTTGTAAAGAGAAATGAGAAGCCAATCACTCTCAGTAGTTAAAGGATTAATGCTCGATAAGGCCGGATGGTTTATCGAATATGTACTCGTGATTTTTCCGAGGAAAGATCCCCGCTGCTTATTGTGAATTAGAGCGGACAGATAATGAAAATTCAGGATTGAAGGAAAGAACTTAACCCCTCCCCTGATCGAGGGTCTCCACGGGGTGCTGACTTTTACGGCTACAATTTACCAAAAAAAACACAAAATGACATTTTGTAGAAAGGGGAAATTTTAGAGCAATTAGGGTTAAAATTTGTCAATTGTTACGCCTAATGGTTAAATTTTTTGGTCGTTTTACGGCTAACGGTTAATCCTATTAGGGAGTTTTAGATCCACGTTTGCTTCGGAATACGTGTGACCGTAAACCTCAAGGAGTCACGTGACCAGACTCTAGCGGTCACGTGCGCCGTTTGCTGTCCATGTTTGAACTTCGGGCAAAGACAGTTTCAGGTACATCAACTCCCTTGACGCTTTGTCTCTTCTGTTCGAAATTTCTCACGTATGTCCTATAAATGTCTGTGTGGTTAAGTCTTTTCTTTATAACCTATCCGTTTGAGACGCAAGAAAACCAATCTTTTAGCCACATTTTGTGTTTGCAATGAAGGACCCCCATCTTTCGTGTAATTCAAGATGGGTGGTGAGGTGAAAGCCGACTTCAATCTAAAAAGCTGAAAGTCTCGAAACCTCTAACTTCTAACTGCTGACCGCTTTTTGACGTTTGCGGTGAACATACCAAACGTGGATCTAAAACTCTCTATTGAGACCTACTAAATTCACCTTGCCACACTTTCCCTTTACATCTCGGCCGACAATCAAAACTTCAGCATATAAAATATCTTTAGGGTAACTTCAAATATATATATTTTTTAATTATATGTTGTACACGTAGTTAGTGATAAACTGTCGATCAAGCCGACGCAACACAGCAATTCAGTCTTCAGAATTTATTTAAGTACTTGCCCACTTCTCCTCCCACTTAATATCACATCAATTTTTTACGTTTACATGAGAGAACCCAGCCATCTTGAAGACTCAATTAACTCAACTAATCCCCTCAGTGCATGAATGTGCAACACTTTCATTCACATGAAAATCTTAAGAGCGAAATCAGAAAGTTGCCATGACAACGGCGAGGAAAAAAAAGATTCAATGCAATCTTAACTTCAAAATTCAAGAATTTCGTGAGTTTGTACTCTTAATGTTTTCGCTTTAATTGCGGACACATCTAAACTCTTTGAGAGCTACACGCATGAAGGTAGCATTATGAGTGAAATTTGGAAACACGGAAAATTTTTCTGATGGGTGTCCTGGTTTTATAAATGACCATTACGGGAAAGGTGCAGATTATTCAATAGATAACGTAATATTCTCGATTTAAGACATTTCATGAGAAAACACTGACATTAAACTTAATTTTCATGGCTTTACTGGTAAAATCGCGCCCCAAAAAAATAGCTTAAGGGTACTTAACTGTTTCCTATGACAAAAATTCAATTCATGAGAAAGGCACGAGTTTTCTTTGAAACATTTGTTGCCTAAGCGAATACATGAGATACGTCCATGCATTGTTCTTCTTGTCTGTGCAAAGGTTAAGCTTTGAAGTTTTCGCGCCGTATGTAGCGCCATCAGTGATCTTATAATGTACCACTTAACGTGAATTTCATATGACTTCGTCATCTGCTGGGTTCGACATGTTTTGGAAACAAAGTGCTACAGTAATCAAAATTCCTGCTTCGTGACTGTTGAGAATAGAACATGACTTAATTGTACCGTTGTTTATTGGCAGCAGTTGAGAACATAATGCGCGCATATTTCGCCATGATAGACTCAAGAAAAGTGAGATTTTTTGTACCAACTGCTTTTAAGAGTAAACTGAAAAAATTCTTCAATAAAAAAATTTAGATTTCTGCTTTAAACGTGAATAAGATTAAGTCGATTTTTTACAGGATCATTGAATGTATTCTACGATTTTAGCTTTGAAACTATCAAAATGCCTCGAACTTTAATTTTGAAGCATTTCTTTATTTGACATCTCAATCATTCCTATTCATAACATTTCTTCGTCAGCTCTGTCGCTATTTCCGATCGAGTATGTACTTTGAAATTCTGATGGTCAAACCACTACTATTCAAGTTTGCTCTTCCCTTCTCCTTTTCTGCCACATTATTCACTCGACGGCTTGGAGTTCATGTGCAAACATCTCCTCGAGAATTCCCGAAATTTTTTGTAGGGCGTGCAACACCCCAATCAACCACCGCCTAAAGGAAGATCCAGTTTTGAGACAAATCCGATTAATTTCACTCAAAAGGTTACAGTATGACTTTAAGATGTTACACACAAAAGCTGAAAGTGATCTGTGGTTTAACCATCCTCTTTGATACTTAAATTTCGGAGTAGATTCTTGAAAAACTTTTAAGACGGAAATCGTGTCGCCGACAAATTATTATGGATAGAAAGCCCGGGCAGAAATTAATACTTTATTGAGTGTTTGAAAGTTGCTGAACAAGAACCACAGCTTTCTTTAAAAATAGAATGAATGAAAGAGAGGAAAGGCACTCTCCTTTATATTCATATCAGAAAGGTGAGGCTTTCAAACTTAGCCGTTTTGTTTTGTTGTTTGTTGTCAGGAAGCCGCGATCAAACAGGAAAAAAAAATTATTCAAAGTTAACTGATACTCTAGTGTTCCGAGGAATAAGGCGCAACTGCGCCCGTCTTTTGACGTAGTCTTGTCTCTCTGTTAATGGTCTAGGGATCGATTAACAGCTCCTACGTTCAGGAAAATACTCCCATTTAAATGAAGATCAAATTTGCATTGTAACGGTCCGTCGATTTGTCGGCTCACAAACTGGGTGTAACATACTTAGTCCGGTGCCCATTCTTGCCCTAACTTGCGTCACGGAAAAATTCCTTTTCTGAGGTGATGTTTAAGAATGGAACATTAAATAAAAAAAGGATAAATAATTAAAACAGTAACTAAATATCCATTTCGTTGGAGGTTTGTTCAAAACTTTTCCGTTCCACTGATAGTTTCCTTCGAATCTCGCGTTTTCGCCGGAAATTAATTCTTTCAAAGAAAAAGGCTAATTTTATAATTTACAACCGAATTGTATATTGGGGAATGCTGAATATTAAAAACTGCTGAAAGGTGATCAGTCTTAATGGTAGATGTCGTTTCAGAAATGCGGAAACCCTGGTCAGGACACAGTCCAAATGAATCGGTTTATCGAGACTAATAAGAAAGGAAGCAGTTATCAGTTCGTATTTCTTGGATATGCCAAAACAAACCATAACAATTTTTAACAGTTGTTTGGTTTATCCTTCCTTCCTTTACGATACATCACGGCTTTCCTGTCTCCCCGTTGATAAACCGTCTGTGATTACGTAAAATTAATCAAAAGGTGATTCCACGGTGACTTCAGAAATTGTTCAAAGAAACGACAAAACTGTTCCTCATCTGGAGTCTGTTTAAGTTATCATGGTCAAAATTCACTTATAAAACATCAATTAACGTGTGTTTATTTATCTTGTCTCATTCGTGCTTCCGTTATTTTTCATTCAGTTCATGATTTTCTCGTGATTGTCGCTAATCAGGCGATGAATATGTTTTTGTTTTGGCTCAGAAACCGGAAATACGATTTAATTGTTTTGATTCGTGTGTCACGCACCCAACATGCGGGGACAATGCCGTGATGCTTTTGATGATGACGTAACCGGAAATGCAATCTAAGAAACTTTACAACTTTTAAGGAAAATCTTGTTTCATCTTCATATAATGGCTTCAACTGTTCCGCGATCTGTTTTTTCCTTGTCGACTGAATAGAACCAAAGCTGGGTAATTTTCGGACTTGTGTTTTTGTTGACTAACAAATTATTAAAGTGATGTTTAGAAAAAGTCCGGGATTTTTCCCTATTTTCTGAGTCATTCCACGGAAGCGTGCCTCATCACCACAGGTTTTAGGTTTTGAAATATTTTTTTTATGTTTTTTTTTTCCAAGCCACTAAAACGTTAATAGTGTAATTCATCTACAATCATTTTTTCTTGATCTAGAGGTAATATATATTTAGGGTTTTTCGATTGCAAATTAAACAAATTCTGCTCAGTTGAAATAAGCACATTACATTTTAGGAAAGTAATCTCGAAAAAGTACTGACGTACACGATCTTCCTAATTTCAATTCTGTTTCTATCGATTATCTAATCTTATGTGTATACCAGCTCGGACGGCGTTAAGAGTGCTGAGGCAGTGATAATTAATTTATTATCACTGCCTCAGCAGTTGTAAGAATATTATTTTCTGTTGAAAACAATATTCAGCATTTTATCAAACTGCAAACTCGGCAATTTCTGTTTGAACTGTGCGATTTCAGTTTCGCGTGAACAACGGAAGTACTAAAACATTGCGGTTTGACCGCTGGCAATAATTGACTTCGTAAACTATCAGCTCTGTTTTCCCGGAAAAACTACTCCTATTAACTGAGTTAATTAGATGTAATTTCCCAGGCAGTGACGGGGTAGATGCAGGGCGGAAAATCTACTCAGCCTTGTTGCTAAAATTAGCAACTCCACACGGGTCCTAACAGGTCCAGGAACCCTGGCTTTAAATATCTGTGACTCTTTGTTGTTAAAATCATGCGCTGGCGTCAAAAGTTTCACTTTCCTCAGTGATTTGACATTGTAAGGTCACGTCGTGATACGAAGAGCAAGCTAACGATCTCGATGGATCTTAAAAACCAGAAATCAAAGCTATCCTTCTCGATTGAGAATATTCTACGCGATGATTTTTCTACAAGGCCAAGAAAAGATGTTCCTACTCTGATACCATCCATGAATTCTAGTTTTGCGAAATGGCCAAATATTCCGGTGTACCGCCTTTGTGCAGTTCGCTACAACCCAATGTTTGTGCAAGTTTTGCCGCGATGGCCATACGCTGGAACCAAACTGAACAAGGGGAGAACTGAGGATCAACAACCGTGCCAGGAGCAGCAAACAAACATCGAAGCCGACGTTGGTTTCTCTGCCTGTGAAACCCAAGAAGGCGAAGGTTGGTTTTCATGTTTACAGAGCTATTATTGGAAAAAAAATTGTCATAGCCTTTAGCTGAATGGCAAAAATTAGTGGCTTTAAATAATATTGATACGTTCATAATGGGCAAAATTTTGTAGCATCGCGGTTTGGTAACCTAAATTTTTTCAACCCCTTAAAAAAATTAAGCGTTCAAAATTATTTAGCAATAAGTAGGCAGAGGCGTTTACAAAAGATGTTGTAATGGGCTTATTTAAAACGCTGATAATCCTTCAGATACACCTCACATGATTATGTTTCAGTACCAGCGTGACATACGGCACTCAATTCTTAAGCCATCAAAGGAGGCGAAAGTCTAAAATTCACTTAAATATAAGTATTTTTACTTATTTTTTAGCATGGGTCAAACTCGTCGCGAGAAGAGAAAACAAAAAAGATAACTTGGCGTTCTTTACACACGAAAAAAAACACAAATTTATCAATTTGAGAAAGGTCCAAATTTCAGTTAAAACGGTGTTACTTTTGTTATAACCAACGCTGTGGGAGCAGTCCACATTCCGTGGCTTAAAGGCATAGGCCAAAGCAAGTCTTGAAGGTTAAAGAAGTTTTTTTCAATATACTTCATCGTCATAAAATGAGCATGGGTCCCTTTCTATAGAAAACTGGATTTATGTGGCAAAGAATTTTATCCTCGTTTCACAGCAGATGAAAAACATATGGTTAAATGCTGAAAGAGGAAAGTTCTTGTTGACCCCAATGAGTGGGAAGAAGTGTGGCCCCGTCTTTAGTAATTTGAAACAGCTAGGGAGCAGAATTTCTGGGCGGGACTACTTAGGAAAGGCCGAGGAAGAAACATCAACGAGTGTTTCGCTTCAATTCATGAGAAAAAGATGCGAAAAAATAAATCATTCACAGCTCAATTCATCTGTAATATCCTATACAATTGAAATTCCTTGCTCGGTAGTAAGACCGATGAATTCATATGCCACAAGGATTTCGGTTTATAATAGCTATTTTAACTCTTTTTTTGCTCGGCTTTCTCTGTTTAAAGGGAGATCGTTACGAAAAAGCGGCTATGAAATTGGTAAATGCCATTTACTACGAGCGTTTGAACATTTTGCGAGTGAACTCCGTTTACAATTCAGTTTTCGAACGTCTTTATCGTTTTCGGGCTGTACCAAAAGTATTTTATCTTAAATTTCCTTTCTAATGAAACTTGCTTTCATCGAAGCCACTTTTTAGGCTTTTCCTATCGGAAAGGTTTCAGCGCATTTCAGTAAATTCTAAGTTTTCGCAGTAAGTACTCTACAGTATCAAATTTCATGCTGCATTTTGGAATAACCTTAAAGCGCTGAATTAAGCGCTGAACGGAAAGCATCTCTCTATAACTCTCTGACGTACGATCAAAAATATGCTCACAGCTTGCCTTGAGGCATTCCGCAATCCGATCACATTTTCAGTTTTTCCTTATTACATGAGCTGACTGCGAAAAGCTGTCGGTGCTAATTTGATCGCAAAATGTTCAGGAATCGTGGAAGTATGTGATCGCTGCTGTTTTACCATAGAAAGAGACATGGTTGCGTTTTGCGTTATTTGCATTGTTACATAACTTGCGGTTTAATTTTTTTTTCGTGCAAATGAATTTCCGCCTCAAGTGCTTTTTATAGTGGTTTGCAATGTTACAAGTGTTTGTTGTTCGATGCACTGACGTTTTAGAATGTCTTCTGCCTTCCATTTAGGGCTGTGCCTTTTATTTTCTTCGTTTATGACGCTTTCAACAATAAACGCCTTAAAAGCTTACATCAAATACTATTTTTAGGGAAAAGGCTGGTGAACTTTTAATAAAGGACAACCAATCTTTCCCATAAAGTTGAAAGTATTTTAAGAAACTCCAGAATGGATTTCGTTATTTCGCACCTCTTGAATACTTTATTTCGCGTTGGACATAAAAGTTCCGACAAGAAGGAATCTTTGAGTAGTTAGTAGTTAAGCTTAGTATTGTATCCTTTCAGTCTATAGAGAGCCTGCTCAAACCCTGATTACCCGCTTCGACCTACTGTGGTCCTCTTCAACTCTTACATGATATTAGAGACAATTGACAGATTATGAGTGATTTATTTAAGACACGCACAGTTCAAATAACTCGTATCTTTTGTGTGTCCTGGAATAATCAGTGTGTGCACTTTTGAACGCAGTAATGAGGTCCTGTACAAATTGCAGATTATGTTTCCTTACGCTCTCGACGCTGTTTATTTACAAAGAACGTGTTTGATTTTGCCACAGTGTTCATACTAATCAGGGTGGGGTTTTAGATCACAGGAATATCCGCTTCTTAACATTAATAACCTTAGAGGCACTCGTGTTATTAAATGTAACCGCAAATATTATATCAAATGAACTATTTTTCGTTTCAGCCATTGAAAATTTTCGGGCACGGATCATCATTTCAGTATATAACTCCACAAATTTCTGAACCTCATGTTGTTTTCTGTTTTATTTTCAGACGAAAGAAATGAAAACAAAGCCAAGATAGAATCTAAATCAGAGAAATGCTTGAAAGTGAAAGCTTTGGAGAGAAAACGCCGTCATCGCAGCCATTTTACTCAACGTCAGCTTCAATATTTAGACAAAATCTTTTCTCGCCAGCAATATCTCACTCGAGACGAGCGCACGCTATTAGCAAGGGGCCTGGAAATGACTGAACTTCAGATCAGAAACTGGTTTCAAAACCGTAGATACCAGCGAAAACATCGCGCAAACAAGACCACGAAACCAGATGAAGAGGGTTCACCGTCAAGTGTGAGAAGTGAAGATTAGGTCTTCGGAGAGATTAAGTCTAATTTGAGCACAGTCGAAAAAGGAGAGAATAAAAAAGGCTTTCTGAATATTTACTAAAGGAATCTAAATGGATTCAGTACAAACTGCGAGTAATCATTTTATTAGATTCTACTTATAATAAGGAACACAGTTTATTCAAAGCTTCGCAAAGAAGGGCATTGATGTTAACGTGAATGAAACGCCTTGTATTATTATGGCGTTAAAAAAAGTTTCAAGCGGTTTAAACCAAAGTAAAGAAATACTCTATCCAAACGTTATTTATATCGAGCTATTTATGCTAATCCTTGACCAAAAAAAAAACACACGTTCAGTTCTACGAGGGACTAAAAAAACTCCTGATTATACAAACTATTTTACTTAAGTCTATGTTTTTGAAACTCATAATACGTGACTTGTAGATATTGTAGAAAACTATTGTGTGATTCATTAAATGTAGAAACAGAAATACGAATATACTTTAAAGATGGCGATCGTGATCTGTTAACTGACTCCATAGTTGTTGTAACACATACATCCAAGATCAGAGGGAAATGTTTTGACAATGAGTTGCTCAGCCCTCCCCCTCTCCGGCCTCCCTTGTCTCACCCCCCCC